CTGGCTTTTTTCACCCAACATAATGCTTTTGAAATTTATCCAAGTTGTTTCATCAATAGTTTATTTTTTTTATTGCTAACTAGTTTTTCATTATATATTAGTACAATCTATCTGTTTAACGGTTAAAAGATATCTAGGCTGATTCCAGTTTTGGCAAAGAGAATTTCTATAAATATTCATGTATAAATCTTTGCGTGAGCATAGTTTTCATTTTTTTAAAGTAAATACCCAATCATTGGGTTAATTATAGTCTTTTTCCCCACTACAGATCACGCTTTCAGTGTCATGTCTAAGAACTCTGCCTAATATCAGGTCACAAAGATTTTCTGCTAGGTTTTCTTTCAAAGTTTTATAGTTTTATGCTTTACATTTAGATCTATGATCTATTTTGAGATTTTATTTATTTGTTTGTTTGTTTGTTTATTGCCTTTTCATAAAGTGGGAGATATAAATTGAAGTTCATTTCTTTTGAATTATCTATTAAATTGCCTTTTGCAACTCTGTCAGAAATCAGGTGGCCATATATGTGTGTTCTACTTCTGGATAGTGTTGTCTGCTCCATTGATCAATGTGTCTTTTCTACCAACGATACTACTCTGTCTTAGTGTTGCTTCTAGTAACTCTTAAAAATATGGTAGTCCAATTCTTCCATCTTTATTCTTCTTTTTAAAAACTGTTTTGGCTATTCTAGTTCCTTTGTTTTTCCATACAAATTTTATAGTCCTCTTGTCGATATCTACAGAAAATTGTGCTAGGTGTATGAATAGAACTATGTTACAGGTATAGATTATTTGAGGAGCAATGACATCTTTACCCTGTTAAGACATATAATCCATAAACACAATATATTTTCTCTATTTGTGTAGGTTTTTTTTATTTGTTTCTTTCATTGTTGAAATGTTCAGCATGCTGATTCTATACCTATATTTTTAAAAATATTTATTTGCTAAGTTTGATTTTTAGGGAGCTATTATAAATGCATTGCTTTTGAAATTTCCATCTCCAAAGTTTATTATTAGAATACAGAAATGTAATTGATTTTTATGTGAGACCTTGAATATGGCAACTTTGCTAACCTTATTAGTTTTAAGAAGTTTTGTTTATTTATTTTGATTCCTTCTTATTTTCTTCGTTAAATAATATCTATGAATAAAATAACATTGTAAACTATTTTCCTTCCTTTCCAATTTGTGTGTACTTTATTCATTTTTCTTGCTTTATTGAACTTATTAGGACTTTTAGTACAATGATTAGTACAGTGGTGAAAACTTCCAGTCTTTCACTAGTAAGTATTATATTAGTCATACTGTTTTATTTTGGTAGATGCCATTTATATAGTTGAGGAAGTTTCTTTCTATTTCTATTTTGCTGACAATTTTATCATTAATAGATGTCGAATTTCTCAAATGCTGGTTATAACTTTAAAATTTCTATTTTTACTATTTTTATAGTTTAAAAGATCTATTTGCCATCTTTTACTGTCCATTTTCAGTTCAACTTCTTTAGGCACATGTAAGTAGCCATATCTAATTAATCTACTTCTAGAAATAAAAAGCTTTCCTAATTTTGGCCAACATGATTCAGTTTTAGTAGGCACTTTCTTTTAGTCTTTCCCAGAGACATTCATTTTTATAATCATTAGTTTTTTTTCATAGTTCTAAAAGGATGAGCAAGTTATAGAAGACATATCCTAGGAATAGTTTACTATTTACTACTGCTGATAAAAATTCTGACTTTTGAGTGTAATTTGTAAATAGACTACCATTTGCTGAGTGCTGTTAGGGAAATGCATAAAGACAAATAATCAAAGAAACCATTCATATTCACTTTGTGGGGTTGCTGGATAACTCATTTATTTCTTTTATTTTTCTGTACAAAGGAAAGGCTATCTAAATTTTCATTATTATCATCAAACGAAATAACAAGAAGCAAAAAATCAAAATAGAAGGGCACACTGAATTTTATAAGTGTAGATGTGCTCTGTTATGAGCAAATAATCACTTACCAAAACTCCAAAACTTTTCTCTTTTTATTCCTGACTTTGAAATAGATTAAAAAGATATCTATAATGTCTACTTCAGATCTTTTCTGTAACTACCCACCAATTCAGGGTACACACTTTTATAATAAACAAATTATATATTTTAAAAATAATTGTTAAAACTCACTGTGTTCAAGCTGGATTTGAGAGGAAAATGTTCTAGTGATTAGTTTGTATGGAAAAGGATAAAGTTTTCAGGAGTTATAAATATTCATATTTAATTATTCTGCTGAGACGTGAAAAGCTACAAGTGGCTGACCTCAAATTTTACTTTCTTCCTAGACTTAAAAGTTAAGATTATAAATGTACTAGATAGAACTAAATTTTTAGAGTACAGTGTTGGAAAATACTTCTTAGTTAAATGATGTTGTGATACACATGGCTATTTTTCTCTATTTTTCATTTTTCTATGCTAATACTGTAATTTTATATTCAGATTATTTGAAATGTTTTTTCTGACACCCTTGGAGCCTGGATAATAAAAATGTTATTTTCTGTATTAAAGCCACTGTGGTTTTTATAGTGAACTGGTTATATGTTTGTTAAAGCCAAATGGCTTTTTGTCACGGTAATTATAAACAGACACACAATCTCTCATATTCCTACCTATTTTAATGGATGAATGCAAGCATTATTAGTAAATATATGATACCTTACCCTTGATTAGGATGCACACTTTAAAATTATACTTTGTGAAATTCTATAATAATAAAACGATTTATATATTTTTTTGTATTTTTCTTTTTTACTTCCCTCCAACCTTATTCCTCCTTCATGTATCTTTTTGTTTCTCTCTTCCTCCTCTCTCTCTATTTTTTCCTTGCCTTTCTCACTGCTGTTATTTTCATTCTCTGTCTTTCTCTTCAAAATCCCTTCTTTTCTAACTTCTTCTTGTTTTTCTATTTTCATCAAAATGATATTTGGTAGTAATACCATATCCCAATGTTCATCAAACACTGATACACATATACACACACAAGCTTATATACACACACACATATATAATTTAAAAACAGCTCTTTAATCAATGAGAAAAAATATTTTATTTTTTAAATTCTCTTGTGTTATTATAACTTCTCAGAACTTTAATAATATGCAAACATTTTTAGACACCATCCCTATCAGAACAGGGAAAGACAAGTTTCTTCAGTGTTTCTCCCAGTGTCACACTGAACAGGGATCCACTTCCCACGAGGCTCCACCTTCTTAAGTTATTAAAATCGCAAGATTACTTTTAAGAGCACTTATATTTTCTAACCGGAGTTTCCTCTTTCACTTTACTTTTTACTCTCTCCTTACCACCCAAGATTGTATTTTTCTGCAGTATTCTAAGATACTCATACTTAGCTTTTGATTGACAGCAATAATGAGTTGGATACATGTGTTTGACCAATTCCAAAGACGAACTGGATTTTATTAAAGTGTGGAATTTCTAAGTAATTATAATTTTAAAAATGAGAAAAATTCTTTCGCAAACTTTTTTGCCTCCAGTGTTGTTTTCCACTATTATTTTTTTAATGATCAAGTTATTCTTTAAAAAGTGATAGTTTGTCATTTGGAAAATGAAAAATAAAGTGTTTCACAGAATCTAGAAACTAATAAAACATGTTATTCAAAAATGTCTGCTACTAACTACCAATGAAATCAGAGTAGGAATGAAAAATGAATCTATCCTTTTTACTTTCTTCTTTGCATTTATTTTGATAAAATTCATTTCAAAAACAACAAAAAAGGATTACAAATTAAGAAATTTGTAAGGGTTTTTTTCTGTCTCCAAACTTCTAACAGACAATGAAACTTAATATTTTAAGTTGTTACTCCTAACATGTTCCCCCCACCCCCAGTAATAGTTCAAAAAGCTAAATAATTTAAATTATTACATGGGAAGAAAAAAAAGTACTGTTAGTTTAAATTAGTCTTATTTATAAGGAAAACACATATTGCGCTACATTAAGCCTTACCTTGGGCCCTCTGCTTCCTGAATTGCATGATCCTGTGTCACTGATCCTTGCATGCTGGATGATCTTGTAGGAACCCATAGCTGCTTCAGAGCACAATGGTGTAATATGAAGTGATGCAGAAAACAGGAGAACCTTTGTCACCGAGTCAGCTGCAAGAAGAAGTAATGTGTATGAATGTACAGTATAGGGAGATCTATGAAAGATCCAGTCTCTTTCTCCCAAAAGACTCTGTTCCATGATACAAGGAGAATTCAGTTCTTTTTGGCAGACCTCCATGTCAGTTTGGAAGCAGTAAAAACAGCCACAAAAAACAAGCCTGTTTTATGTGTCTTTACTCTCCATGTTTAAAGTAACATTTTATTTCTTTTTCTTTTACTTTGTTTTTAATAACCAGAAAGTAGTGTCCCTTTCAATTGTCCTGTTTGAGAACAATTTCCATAGTAGGGATATAGATGGGAATGGATTATAAAGATGAGTTCAACCATACGTACCATGCTCATATTTGTTATTGGCGAAATTTGAAGGCGAGGCCCTCTCATCTCTTAATTGAGGAGTGGATGACTTTAAAATGATATTACATCAAGGAAGGCATAGCATCCCAGCAGATGATGTAATTATGTTTAAAAATGAGTATTATTAAATAATTCACACTTTTAATATAAAGAAATTAGGTCATTTTTCCACTCCTCCCACAACTATTCAATCTTAATATCTAAATAATGAAACAACACAGTGCTATCCATCCTGGTTCTAACAGAGAATGCCACTTATGACAGGCTCATTGTTTACTTTAACAGGTAATTTGTGGACCGGAATCATTTAATTGTTCTGAGTACATAATTACATGTCAGCAATTTCCAATTTAATTAAAATGTACAAATCTGAAGATTAAGGGAATTTTTGAATTATTAATCATTTTTCCACTAGGAAATCTTGTTGCTCTGCAGGAGATTTGTCCAGTGTACAACTATACGTATTTTTTTCCTTCTCTTTCGCAGACAGACAATTTTCCCGCAGAGCCCAATTACATGGGCAGCAGGCAGCAGTTTGTTCAAAGGTAAGGCCTATTAAATAACTTTCTCAGCTTCTCCATTTGCATTCGTGTCAAAATTGCTTTGCAAGAGACTACACTTCAGATTCAAACTCGTAGAGACAACACTTTCTCTTTTTTTTCTTTATATGTATTTCAGTAGCTCCACGTTTAAAGACCCAGAAAGAGCCAGCCTGAGAGACAGTGGGCACGGGGACAGTGATCAGGCTGACAGTGACCAAGACACTAACAAAGGCTCCTGCTGTGACATGTCTGTTAGGGAGGCACTCAAGATGAAAACTACTTCAACTAAAAGCCAACCACTTGAACAAGGTGAGTGAAGCCTTCCAATGCTTACCAAGTATAAAGCTTAAGCAATCCTTATAAACCTATTAGTACTAGAGTTGCAATCTCTCACAGTGGAATGGGCCAATGATAATGTATCAAAAGAACCAAAAAATCCCAAGTTTGTCCCAGGCAAAAAGCAACTGTTCAGTACCTCAGTAACAACAGAAAAAGGAAGGCCGTGGATATTAGTCTTTAATCTTCTTAAAATGAGAAATTAAGCAAAGTCATTAGATTTGTTTTTATCTTCATGAATGTGCCATAAATGTTCCTATTTTGCATTTTATTAACAAGGAAAAATAATATGGCATATATTAGCTAGGTATGCACATTTTAATATACTAAATTACAGGATTAAAATTGTAAATTCAGCACTTTTAGGTGAAATGAAAACTTGGTTGGAATTTTATAGTTCTTAATGGTGGTTTATTTTTAGTGTGAATTTTAGCTTTTAAGTAGTTTTTAAAGAGTCAAGTAACAGCTAAGCGAGAGTTTCCACTCTTTTTGTTTTAGTTTACTTAAATCTTCGTAAATATCAAATAATCATGAATTTGTTTACCCGGGTAGGGATAAAAAAGAGATATTTCTTAATAAATATGTATATTTTTTCCAAAAGTCTATTTTCAATTTATTCATTTATATGCCTTTTTATAATTTTGATGTTTTTGTTGTTTCAAACACAATGGAATATTTACTAATGATTCACTCAAAGAGAATTAAACTACTTTTATTTCTAAGATTTAGAAACTATGAGTAGTTTTTGTGTGTCTAATTTAAAAACATGAAAAAAACTATTATGAGAATTGGATTTCGGAATTACAGATGTATACTAGTTAATATGTTAACATTCAAAATATTAACAGTATTTAAATATATTTAATACTTATCGTCAGTCTTTTAATAAACTATATTTATACTAAGTGCATATAGCTGCTAAGTCATTTATTAATTGATGATTTATAGAAAGTAAATTTTTGCTTGTAGTGCAGTCCATCCTTTCACACATACTTTAGCGGATATAATGTTTACTAACTTTTTAAATCATGTTGAAATTTTAATACAAACATACACATGCAAACATATATTTAATAAAAAAATAAATAAATATATATACATATAAATATTTCTGCACTGAGTATAATTATGTTGGATTTATTTTAAGGTTGATCTTCCCAAAAACCTTCTTTTCTAAATAACAGGTGCCAGATAACTTTTTTGTTCCTGACTTTTACGAATGCAATATTGTTTTTTAAATTTTTTAAGCAAAAGCTATTTAAATATTTATCTAATATTCACAGATCCTGCAAATTTTAATGTTTACTTAAAGTGACTTACATGGTCTTGTGGGTTATGACTAATATTATAATATATGAATCTTTTAGACACATTTTAAATAATAGGTTGTTGAATCTTGCTATGTGAATACACACCTTAAGATAGACCCATCTATCTGTATAACATATGGTGAGTAACAGATAATTTCTTGGCTACTATTTGTAAAGCTGCAGAGTAAGTAAAGAGTTTGTATTTATTGTCATTTTCATGAGAAACTTTGTTAATCAAAAACAAAAACCAATACACTGCTACTCACATTAATGCTATAATTCCTTTTCATCCATTAACTGAGCAGTGTATTTGATGGGAATGGAAGAGACCCCTCTAGAAAAAGAAAGTGATTTCATTTATGTTTAAAAATATAATTTATCCTGAAAAGGTGTTTGTTTTTTTCTTAATTTTTGATTTCAAAAAGTAGTATCTTAGGAAGGTGTCTATTCTTGAAAAAACACATATTTGGCATATATTTCAATTAATATTACACCTAAAATATTGCTAATCTATGAGTGAGAATGCCAATAGAAATGTCTCTGGTAAAACAAGTAGTAGCCACACATTTTTATTAATAAACATGGAAAAGTTATGAATCTGAAAGCCACGCTTCAGTAATCTATGAATTATGTGGAAGAGAGACTGACTTCTACTTTAAAACATGAATTTAAAGGGTTAGCTAAAATAGTATTTTATTTATTATTAGATTCAGTAATGCACTTATTTAATAAATATTTATCAAATGCTTTCAATATATAAGGAAAGTTAGATTCTTTGGGAATGTCAAAAATAGATTTGAGTTGGAGCCTGCCTTTAAGAAACTACAAGTAACAAGTAGAGATAAATTTCTGTTTCTATTTCTCTCTCTCTCTCCATCTCCATCTCCATCTCTCATCTCTTATTTAGCTATATCCCTCATCTACTTTCTTATCTATCTCTGCTTCTCATACATCTCTTTCTCTCCATTATCTATATCTTCTTTTATCTATCAATTAATCTATTATCTATCTATCTATCTATCTATCTATCTATCTATCTATCTATCTATCATCACCTATTCGCCATCTATCCATCTATCATCATCTATCATCTATCTATATCTATCTTAATCTATTATCTATCTATCTATCTATCTATCTATCTATCTATCTATCTATCTATCATCACCTATTCGCCATCTATCCATCTATCATCATCTATCATCTATCTATATCTATCTTTCTTCTATTTATGTTTTTATCTATCTGTTTTTGTATCTAGAGTCAGAGAAGGAGCTAGCATTTACTACATTCTTACTACATACCATAAACTGTGCCAGCTTCATTTTAACATTAGCTTATTTAACCTGTAAACTCTAAAATAGTTATTTTTATTGTACAGATATTAAAACTGAGATTAAGAAAAATTTCTTAACATGTATAGCATGTTGTAATTTTATCCTAGGTCAAGATATGACCAAAACTTACGTATTTTCTATACATCTTTGTCTCCAAATGGGAGAATTTCCTCAAATAGATATTCTGATTTATTGCTCCAACCATATATCAAATAAACATAGAAGAGTAATTTAAAACCCGAGTTCAAGTGTGAGAACCTTGGAGGAGAACATTAAAATAGTTCATATGCAGTGAATGAATTATTCAGTACTTAAAACTTATTATCCTGTTTAGTTTTCATCACATTTATGGATAGGTAAATACTGTTACTCTCACATTTAATAGCCATTAAGAAACTTTCTCAATGTTCTGCAGTTATAAATAGTGAAGTCCACATTAAAAATAAAATAACATGCCTTCAGACCCTGCTCTCTTAACCAATGCTTTATACCATTCACATAGTAAATGATTCACTCAGAAATAATGTTAAAATGTTTGAAGAAGCAATCAGCCACTGTCTTGGTCAATGTACTCTGTTAATTTATTTGAAAAGCATCATGAGAGGCAATGCCAAATTAATTCAATGCACACCTAGAAAGAATAATTTTCTTTATAGATGGAAGATGATGACAGCTGTATTCAAACAATTGTCTCATGTCAGATTTCAAATGTTAAATCCTAATCTTTAATACCTTTAAAAATCTCCTAAGAACCAAAAGTAGATTTCCTCTTAGGAGAAAAACTAAGAGCTAAACAAAAGGAAACCTGTTTATCAGTCTATTTCTCTTACTAAAAATTTATAGCAATGCTTTAACAGATTTCAATTAAAAAATAGTAGGATACTATATTTCACCTTTTCTGTATTAGTTTAGTTGGTTTCTGTTCCTATTAAATGATCTCAATGAAGAAAAATAATATTCCATTTCTAAATTGAAATATTTCTTTAACTTAGAAATTAAAATCAATTCCAGAATGAATCTTCACATTTTCAATGAAATTTTTTATTCTAATACTGATTTTCTTTTGCCGATGACATAGACCTTTTGAGATTTTATTTTTATAAACTCAAATGTTACCTTTTTTCCTCCTTTTGTGCAGTTAGATTTTTCCCATTTGTTTGGTTCCTGATACTTGTGTATTTTTGCTAACATCAGTTTAATCATCCTAAAAATGCAGCACGAGTATTTGTTGCCCATTATTTTAGCAAAAAACATTTGAAAGGGTTCAGTAGTTAGTTGAAGGTGTGATGTATTTCATTACACTCGAAGATAGCTTTAAGGATTTTATGTTAATAAACTCTCTAATAGAAAGAGGTTATTTTAGTTTCTCTTACTGTGATTGAAAAAAAAAAGGAAAAACTCTCAGATAATGAACTTATTTTCTTTCTATTTGATTGCATTTTTACTCTCTTTTTTTTTTTAAAAAAATAGGTTATCTCCATATTTCCTTCATCAAGTATTATTTTAGGTCAGTAGGTAGATAAGTAGATGATAGGTAGATAAAAGTAATCCAAGTGTTTTGGAATTTGTACAGTACCATGATAGGACATTACCTAGTTAGAAAGGTAAATGTACAAAAAAAAAAAGCATTATTTATCAAAAAATGACACAGAAAATTGATCAATACACATTTGATCTTATTTTGCTGATTTTATATTTTGAAATAAGAAAAAAAATTTATAAGGAACTAATAAAAATACTTACGTTATTTCTGTAAAGAAGAGTCACATACAGTTTTATAAAGAATACAACTTACAAAAAATTTTAAGGTAACTTACTTCTTATGCCTCAGAATATTATTCGAACTTTGACTTCTTTAAAGAAGCACTACATCTCTGAATTTCTATCCACTAAAAGCCCTGTAAATTATTCTGATTGTTAGCAATAACTGTTTCTTCTTTTAAAAAGATTTAATAAACTTTCCCTAAAATTTAGTAGTTTGTATCGATTCCCAAATAATAAATGTGCAGTTTTTATAAATGCTGACTTGTGATTTCTCTGAACTCCTTATTGATACCAAATGACAGTTCTCTGTTTTCCAAGGATAATCAGTCTTCTATTATCTTTATAAGTGACGAAACCAAGTTCTTGTGTCTTTAAGTTAATGGAATAGCATTGTACATTGTGACTGTTGACAATCCATGCCCGGGATTGCAGTGAAAGTGTTACTGTCTGGAATTGAACCTCCCCAATTGAGTAGCCAGTCCCTGGCTACTTTACAGATCCTCAGGAGTTGCTTAGTCAGACCCTTCCCCTCTGACTGGATTCCAGAACTTTACAGATCCTCAGGAGTTGCTTAGTCAAAGTCTTTTTATTTCTCATTTTATTTAATGGCCTTGTAATTTCTCTTTTTTTCTATTCAATTCTTTGCCTCCCCTGTTCTCTCTCTACTGCTAGAAAATCTGACTTCTTAAATTACATTTTGGGTTCAAAACATTTCACAATAGAATCCCTGATTAAAATCCCTGATTAAAATCTAATAAAACTAAAATCAATAAAAAGTTGAAAATAAAATTCCTAATAAGCCAGGTTTGCTTCAATATATTTCAGTTGTTAAACTAAATTACATTCTTAAGGGTTGCCTTTCATCTTCCCAGAAGAAATTCTAGAAAACCATAAAACCTAAAGCTAATATATGTTTTTTGTTGTTCCTTCTTTTCTTTAAGTCAGTGCTTGCATTTTGCTTGTAGGCTCTATTTTCAAAACAGGAGTAGGCTCGCTGAAATGACTGCAGTATCCGTTATATGATTTCAGAGTCTGGCAAGGCTCTGAGCTCCACTCCTTTAAATCTCCCTTCCTAGTTCACTGCATAATGAGTGCAGTTTCACCATATTTCTAATTATGTCTGGAAAGAAAACAGTGACAAATTCCCACAACCTATACTTTACCGTGAAGTAGCTATTTAAAAGAGCAGTAGTAGAGAAATGAGAGAATAGCAGTTGAGGATCTTGTCAAACCGAGTGAGGGCAGAACCATACATTCAGGATTAGGGAGGAAGTTATGGAGACAGAGGATTAAGACACTGAATACAAACTTGACCTACTTTGCAACTTCCCCTGGAACTGACCCTGAATAGAAAAGTACTAGGATAGTACTTTTATATTCTCAAGCTTTTGCTCTGTTTTCTATTCTGCATTATGGAGCCTTCCAATCAAGCAGCATCTTTTCCCAGACCTTCCCGTAACAGGCAATAGTAAATCCACCTCCACATAAGCAGGAACCAGAAGGCAATGACAATGCCCGTCCTCTCAGCAGACTTCTGGCAACCTCTGAAAATAATTTTAAAAAGAAATGCTCCTATAAATTTATCAATAATAAATTTATCTTAGGAAGGAAATGGAAAATCGCTGTCCATATATGGGGGCAGGAAGGAACTGTTGAATATTTAATGCCTGAAAGAAATCACTTATGAATTTGTAAAGGCACTGCTGCTTTATGACTAGCATATGTGGCATTTAATAAATTGTATTATTTGCCCAAAATGTGTATTATATTCAAGCTCTGTACGTTTTTATTAGGCTGCATTTATCTAAGAGCACCTCGATATCATTTTCCCCGCTGCCTATGCTGTCTCTCAGGAGTCTCAGAATTCATCTGACTTTACATTTTACTGGATAAAAATGGTCCCCAAACTGTGAACAGCTTCAGTTTAATTTTGCTTACCAAACTTTGCAACTGTCCTATAGTTCACCTAACTTTAAAAGTTTCAATGCTATCTCTTTTTCTCGTGTGCAAACATCTGCTTCTCGAAGCCAGCAGCTGGTATCATGAAAATAGAGATTTTATCACCCTCACATTTGTCACTCATCGTAAAGCCTTCCTAACAAGTGTTGCGTGATTTACTATAGACTCGATGTGATTTTGAGATTCTTTTACTTTTAGCTAGCATGGCAATGACATTTGCTAAAACATTCCAATTAGGAAACGTTGGGACAGTATTTCCCAAACTCTTCAAGCTCATTTTGCCTCTTTCTTGAGGCAGAGACACCTTTTCCAGCCTTAGCATTATCATCTCTCTCAAATACTCCCACATAATCAGAGGATTCTACTTTTTATGTGTTTTTTTTATAACTATATATATAATTCTATTCTAATTTATGTAAATTTTTATGAAACTTTGAGTATGTCCATAAACGATGAACATCTAGAATGGTTGTTAGCTCATCTGTTAATTAAGAACTGTAAGAAGCTTATGTTAATAGGATAAAACTCCTCCCAGAAATTTTCCATTATTTCTCTTTGATAACATATTTTAATATTGCAGGTACTCTGTTCTTATGAAAGCTATATTACAAAACATTAGGGTAAGAAGAATCCTTGAAGTATAACTTCTATATCTTGTAGGTAAAACAACAAACGGATTAAGTAACCTCTATAGTCTTCTAGTTGGTAAAAGTAGTATTAGTTCCAGGTTTATAATTTTCTGGTTTATAACTCTTTCTATTCTTCCACATCATTCCTATAACACAAAATTGAGATCTCAGTGTCTCCAAGCAGGTGCTTCAGATTTGTCATCAAATTTCATTTTTTTAGTCTGAAGATGTCAGCAGCAATGCTTGGGAACTTGATTCTTGATTCTTTCATATTCTTTGAATAAATAATATATTCACATGTTTTATATATATTGAACAAAAGCTTTAAAGATCAGTAAAATGTATCATTTCAAGTGTATACATTGACATTACTGTGTTATTTGTCACCGAGTATATATATATATATATATATATATATACATAATTGTAGGGCCCAATACCTACAATTCTAACTGTGGGTCTCTAATAATTTCTTAGTGCATTAAGGGGTAGTGATTCGAGGAGAGATTTTCATTCATTCATTTATTTAATCAATTTTTTTTTTCTTTCAATAAACAACTGTGCCGAGGATAAAAACATGAGCTAAGGTATAGCTTGGGTCCTCAAGGAGCTCAGACTGTATTAAGAGAATATGACATGTAAACTATGAAGTAGGTGCAGTGACACTATGCCCCAAATATTAATAGGGTCATGAAAATGAACACCCAGCCCAGATTTGAGAATCATAGGAAATTCCTGGAAAAGGAGAGCTAATCCTTTAGAAAATGTTTAACTCACTTGTCAGAGCGAAGTTAGAGAAGGGAGGATAACAGGGCACTCTCAGAAACAGAGATGCGCAAAGTGCTGTATGGCGAGTTGCTGTTAGGTGTAGTTGAATAATGATATGTCAGACTAGGATTGGCGAGTCTGAGACTGGGGAGGGTACGAAAAGCCATGTGATGGGTTGACTGGGGAGGAGCCATTGGAGTTTTAGGAAGTAATAGTTCAAAGTTTCATTTTAAAGAAATTATTTTTATGGCAAAGGCCTGGGGAGAGAAGGATACAATTAGGAAGCTGAGGAAATAGCCCAAGGCAAAACAAAATGAAGCCCAGATTAGTAAAAAGGTAATAGGAATGGAATAAGGTGAAAGATTAAAACCTCCTTTTATTATATGCCAATACTTTTATGATTATAATAAATTGCTTAGTATTCATTTAAAATTAATTTTGGAATAAGGATTTCTAAAGAAAATAATCATTTGATACTCAAATTAATGGGCTATTGCTTGAATTGTTTAATGCCTTTAAGTTTTTATGTAGTACATATATATCACATATATTAAATTAACCCATACATGTTTGAAACTTTTTACATTTTCTCTAAATGGCCAATATTTATTCGAATACTGGAATTGACTTACTGAAAAAACTTTACCACTCAAAAATACTAGGAAAAATAAAAACAAAAATAAAATTTCAGTTAATCAAATCTTTGAGAGACCTTTCAGAACACAGTGAAGTAGTTTAAAATGATACGATAGTGAATCTTAGAGTTATGACTTGGTGAGCTTACTTCAGTTTACTAAAGTGGTGAAGGCAAGGTGAGATCACCAAGGGGAAAACTATTGGGAAGAAAAAAGAAGTGTTTAGGTGAGTATCAGAAGAGGCAACTAGAAATTACAGTTTGGAAGTTAAAGAAATCAAGAAGTATAAACTTGGAAGCTGTTGAGGTGGAGTCATACTTAAATCAAAGTGAATTAATGAGAAGTATTATTGGAAAAAAAAAGAACCCAGGAGACTGGAATCCAGGATTATTGGGAGAATAGAGTCCAGGACAGGCTCCTACAGGATACGATATCCAGAAGTTGGGAAAGAGAAGAGTTCAATAATCACTCAACTTGCCAAGAAATATATATTCAATATGTTTTATGAAGATCCAAAATCTGAAGACTCTTGATGAGTTATTTGAAGCCTAGAGTTTTAGATTTCACTTCCAGCCAAATATAATTGATAGCCAAATTAAATGAATACATTAAGTAAGGCTGGATAATGCTGGTTTTATTAAAAACAAAATGATACTGAGCTGGTTTTATTTTAGGATTCACAAACTAGTTCTGAGGACTGTCTCAAAATATGTGGTCTGGTATAAATGTATAACTTCCAAAGCTCACTATTTTGAAGAAAAGGATATTTCACTTGGAATCATTTGTTTTCAATTTTTACTGTAATTCAGTAGTTTTTTGTATAGTACCTATCAGGCACATGACACTATCTTAGGTGCTATGTTGAATATTTATTCAACAAATATTTGTTGGGTTTCTAGTATGTGCTGGTGCTTCTCCAACTGTCAAGGATTGAGTAGTAAGCAAAACAAATATTCCTGCTCATATGGAGCTTACACTCAAATGAGGATGAAGTTCCTACCTGAACCCTCTTGAAACTCAGAAGGCCATTTTCACAGAACTCATAGGCTAGTGATGGAAATAAAATATATATGAAACATATGATAAAATGTAGAAAATAATGTGGCGGTGTTTAGGTGTAAATGAAAAGGCCTGAAAATTTCAAGAGGGAGAGAATACTGACAATTATTCAACGAAGGCTTTATAAAAGATGAAAAGTGAGCTCAGACTTAAGGAATGAACAGTTTTTACTTTGCTAGAACAATTACAACAAATACATAAACATAATCATGGAATATGCAAAATATAAATAATATTTGGGGAATAATGAATAGGTCAATGTGTCCAGAGGGGAGTGGATAAAAGGAAGAGGTGCCAATGAAAACACAAAAGAGATGTTCAGTAAGGAATGGAGAAAGTAGGAAACCATAGTGTCACAATAATCAAAGGCAGACCGGAAGATATATACACATTCTTTAGAGAAGTCCAAGAAAATGAGTCCCAAGGAACCACTATGCTATTGAATAACTGACAAGCCACTCTTGA